AAAAACTGAAAAAAAATTCCTCAAAGTATTTTTGCACAGCGTATATGATCTGATTGCGGTATTAAGTTAAAAGACTATCCCGTGACAGTAAAGGTGATTAACTTAGAAGTCCGTCTTTTACTGCTGCTCATCATATTTATGATGAGTGCTATTTGTTACATTTCCTTTCAGGATTATTTAGACATAGCTCCAATTCATTTGTGTTACTGCCTAGAATATTTTAAAGGAAATCTAAGCAAAACTGTGAAGAATTTGGACGCAGAATTCTTTATTTTCAAAAACCCCTTTATAGCAAAGGTTGAGAGCCGATACCATTTTAAGCTACAGTCTTCCTTTATATTTAATATCAGAAAAAGCTGTGTCAAATGTTTTATGTAAACTATAGTGTAGTATATAGTGTAGACTAACTCTTGCTAATATGCTAATTACAACATACTGTCTTAGTGTTAACAGTAATATCTACTTCTCTAAGTCACAAAAATCAAAGATGTTGCATAAAGCACATTTTTAAAAAAAAATTTTCATTGGGAATTAAATATAACTAAGATAAAAGTAGATTTCTAGCCTACTAGATCTCCCATATCTAGACGTTGTCTAAGCACTTATTGATTGTTCTACACTATGTGGAACTATAAAAGTGTATTGTGATAACTCAAGATGTTTCCATTTTATAAATTAACTCAAATGGTATAAAACTTACTAAAAAACAAAAACACCACCAACCATGTCTTTTCTAATTGAAATGTGTGAAATACCAGAACTGGCAAGATCATAATGTCACAGAGAAGAGTAATAGAGTTTTAAAGTCTTTCGTTTTTCACAGCTTTCTTTTTTAAGATTTGAGAAAGTCATTATGTTAAACCTAAAATTTCAGCTAAAACATTAATTTTTAGCTGTAATACTATAAATGGACATTTATGGATACTGAAAACTTGGGGAATAATAAACAAAGCAGAAGTCATGGTTACCATATTTACACATACTCTTTGTTGTGTTTCAGTGCCACATGATCTGATTCAAAGTAATAAACATCAGGATCATCATCTTCCTCTTCTGTAATGTGCTGATTGGCACTCTCTTTGGCAGATGGCAAATGTCCACTATTGAGTCTTGCCTCTGAGGGTGGCATACTTAGTCCTTCACTTCCGTAATTTTGAGAGTCACAGCGTATCCCTTTTTCATTTTGAGAAATTTCATCAGGATTTGTAGGAGACTGACTTATGTTATCATTAACAGTCGCATTTGTTTCATTAAGACTAAGATTATTCTCCTCAAATTGTCCATTTTCTCTGCAAGGAGAACTGCTTTTAGTGGGACTGCCTCTGGTAGGGGCAGCCCTTCGTGGTGAGGTTCTCAGGGCATAACGATGTTCTTGAGGTTCCGATAAAGACATCATTTGAGCTGAAACACAGTCTAAAACTGAAGATGGTTCTGGTTCTCCAGAGACTGGCATACTCTCAAGACTTGTGTCCAGGTCGTTATTGGTGCTTTCATTACACTGCTCTTTTGAGGCACTGCTATCTCCCACCACATCTACTTCCTCCTCAGAATCCCTTAAAGATGACTGAATTTCAGAAAGGGGGCCTATAGCTGGCTCAGTAGTCAGCTGATTAACATGTTCCACCGGCAGGCAGGCAGTTACTACTTTGTGGTCCTCCAACTTGACCTGCACTTCTGAATTTGTGCAAGGCACGTTATGGTCTATATAACTGTCCTCCTTCCTACTGTCAAGGAACATTGAGGTTTGGGTATCCAAATCCCCATTTTCGGCTACTGATTTTTCCTGCAACACATAGGAACCAGTGCTATTTTGTTTAGTGTTCCCATCAGGCTGACAGTCATCACAGTTTATAACAGCTGAATCACTGTCATCGACACCATTGACAGCCAAATAGCCTGTGATTTCTTCAACTACTGCAGAATTAAGTGGCCCTTCCTCACTGACATTCACCTTTTTAATTTCCCTTTTCTCACAATCATCCAGTATAAGACATCGACAAGCTCGTTTAGTCCCTTGAAAATCTGCATCATTGTCCACTACTGTATTCCTCTGTTCTGATTCCTTGTCTGCTTTTATAGGTGAATCTTCTTCTGAACTGTTTGGTGCTTCAGATCTAAGACAACGCTTAATTCTTTTTAGAACTGGTGAAACAGGTTCCGTTTGCCTTCTCTCACAATTTTCTACAGCCTGCCTTTCTATGTTATCCTTTTCAGAAGAAGAAAGTCCTCTTTTCCTAGGGCTTACCCATGATTCTCGGGTACTCTGCTGTTTTAAATCAGTGGTTCTTCCATTATTATTTCCTTTCTGAATTTGCACAGGCTCCGGTCTCTTCTTTGGTGATCTTGATCGTACTTGAGAATGAGAAGAGATTTCTTCAGGGTGAGCAATGCTACGATTCCTTAAAGTTCTACCACAAAAAGATTCATCCAAGCCGTTTAAACCCACTGTTGATCTTGTAACACGAGTAGATCGGGAAGCAGCCATACTATGGCAAGTCCCTACAATACGGTCATCATGATCCACTCATTGGGAAACCTTCAAAAACGTAAACAAAATAATGAGAAAAAGGTAATAGTTAATATACCTAGAACAAAAGCATGAAACTATAACTTTTTAATCCAAGTATAGCCAATATTAATAAATTACAATAAAAATTATTTTATTAACATTTCCTATAATGGTATTAATGATAGCTAACAATTTCATGGCACTTAATATATTCCATGACTCTTTCTATATATTAACTCACTTAAGTCTCTCAACAATTCAGATAGATGCTACTATTATCCCTACTTTACAAATGAAGAAGGCAAGGACAGTTTGAGTAATCTGTCCAATGTCACAATGCTAGTAAGTGGTAGGACAGGGCTCTAGAGACCAAGCTCTTTACCTGCCTCTCTTATATCTGCCTCTCAAATAGGCACAAAGTACCCAAAAAAGATCTATCTTAAACATGTGATTTCATCTTGGTTATTAAAACAATACTCTTAAATTTATATAGCAGCTATCTTATAAAAACTATTCTCATCATTTCTCATATTTTCTCAAAACATTCCTGGGAGATAGACAGGCAAGCTCTCCTCTTTTTCATTCCCTCTTACAAAATGAGTTTCAGGTCAAATCCCTTGATAACAAACAATTTGGCATCCAAAAAATTCTGGTTGTAGTAGAATTTTTTGTAATGAAATTGACAGACAGAAATCACAATTCTAGCTTGCACTGGCTAAGAACAAAACAAACCAATGCCAAGCCTTCCAACTCTCTAGAAATAAAGCCATAAATTAGCAAGTGAAAGGAAGTATTCTAAAGAGGATAGAAGAAAATGGAAAAAAAGCCTCTGAAGCAAACATTTACACTTAAGAAATCATGAGTACACATATAATCCCACTCTTTCCTTCTCTGAACTCCTTTGTATGCCAGTTTTGATGCATGATTTGGGAGATGAACAGGTTTTCTGGTGTGGATGCTTGGCGTTTATAAGACAGAAACATGAGGGATACTGAAAAATGCCCAGATTAATCCATTTGGATAGACACTAAGTGATTTAGTGATGTTTTCCAAAGGTTCTCCCATGAAGCAGAATAAAGGAGTTGTAAACATTTCAAGTCTCTATTCCCCTGCTCCTCTTCTATTCAGCTATCACAAGATACTTTGCCACTGCCTAGCTTTGAACAGAGGACAGGATGGTTGTTAGAGAAAGAGGTCAGTGATGGCTGTAGTGCAAAGTTTCAAAATCCCCTTCCCCCTGCCTTTGGTCATCCTTCCAACAGCCTCCCTCCTCTCATATAACCCTCCAAATGCCATTCTATCCCCTTCTCTGAAAATCAAATACAATCTCTCCTTTCCTCATATATATCCTTTGCCTCAACTGAGTATCTAATAGTGGAAAGGTTAGAAGAAGTACAGAAGACAAGGCAAAATGCTACCACATACAAAAAAGGAACATTAAAGGAAATTGTCTCCCTTTGCCTGCAGACAATGAATTGAGAAAGTGCCCTGTAAAATATTTAAGTTGGCTGAATCTAGTTTTGTTTCAAAGTATGGCAAACTTTTAACTTTTAATTAACAACTTTTAAAAATCTGACAAAATTCTCAAAACCAGCCCTGGAATTAAAGCATGATTATTTGTTCAAGAGAATTTCATAGTAATAAAGTGAAAAATAACTACACAACAGCTATCAGAACTTACAAATACGTTTCTTACAGTAAACTTTTACTTGTTTTGGGATTCATTAAACGGACCTCTGACATGTAATTGTTTTTTGCTAATATCCTGTCATCAAGATTATAGTCTTTCTGTATTTATCCACAGGTAACAAACACTGGATGTCCCATAAATTTCCACTTTTGGTTGCAAAAAACTTAAATTTCAAATGATGTTTTAAAACAACACAAACTGAAAAATATTAAAAGCAATGTATTTGTTTCATGTACCCAAATCTGTAGCTCTCAAATTTGAAGATTCCTGATTTTTAAATATTAAATACATATGCCAATACACACACAAAAATGTAACAATAAGTTAATTTTATAAATTACTTACAAAATGTAACACAAGTATCTTAATGCTAATTTAATTATGTCCATAATTTATGATTCAAAATGAATACTAGCAAGAGTAATATTTTATAAACACACACACAAAAAAATCTGTTAATCTTTACTTTTTAAAATGCAATGGTAATTAAGGGCATATAAACCTCTTAAATGATTCTAATAACAGGGCTTCCTAGACCTTTTCTTTCCACACCAATCTGAATAAAAATCTCTGTCTTGCAGCACAAACTTCTCAAAAGAGACACTACTTTGGATGAAATAAATCTATTATTAGTAGCACTCAGATCCTCTAATAGAGTATATATAAAAATCAGTATAAAATACCACCTAATGAGGGCCTATTTTATTTCTTCATCATTCTAGTGATTAAAATATTAAAACACTGATTAATATGAAAGATTAAATATCAAAATACTGATTAATATAGTTTAATAAAGATTAAACTGCTGTTTCTTTTACTCCCTAAAAATGTTTTTATTTCATTCAACAACTACCATGAAGCCCAAGTTTTAGGATTTTCAAGTCCTGTACTACTGATCTGTATTTAAAGAGAACCTGTTTTTTGTTTTGTTTTGTTTGGGTTTTTTTTGAGACAGAGTCTCACTGTGTTGCCTAGGCTAGAGTGCCATGGCATCAAAACTCCTGGGCTCAAGCGATCCTCCTGCCTCAGCCTCCCAAGTAGGTGGGTTACAGGCATGCGCCACCATGCCCAGCTAATTTTTTCTATATATTTTTAGTTGTCCGATTAATTTCTTTCTATTTTTAGTAGAGACGGGGTCTCGCTCTTGCTCAGGCTGGTCTCAAACTCCTGAGCTCAAACAATCTGCCCGCCTCGGCCTCCCACAGTACTAGGATTACAGGCGTGAGCCAAAGAGAATCTGTTTTATACCAAGGATCCTTTTAGTGCCTTAAACTCTTGCAACGCAATCATGGGCATCTCCTGGAAGCTTGTTAGAAATGAAGAATACATCAGGCCCTGCCTCAGACGTACCTACCACTGAGTCAGATTTCCGGATGATTCATATGTACTGCCTTAGATCACTGCACTCAGACAGAATTCTAATAAAATAATAGTCATCAAGTTTCAAACTAAATGAGACCTATTTATACTCCCTTTAATTCCTTACTGGATCCTAATAATTAAAAATTTATAACTAAGGCCATGATCCCTCTGGCTAAGGAAGCACCAAACAGAGGACTATAAAAATCTCTTGCCCTGAAATTAACATGTTACATACACTTGAGGTAATAAACTGGTTTTAAAAAGTTTGTTTTTGTTTTTGTTTCTGAAACAGAGTCTTGCTCTGTTGCCCTGCCTAGAGTGCTGTGGCCTAGCTCACAGCAACCTCAAACTCCTGGGTTCAAGCAATCTTCCTGCCTCAGCCTCCCAGGTAGCTGGGACTACAGGCACATGCCACCACACCCAGCCAATTTTTTCTATTTTTAGTAGAGATGGGGTCTTGCTGTTGCTCAAGCTGGTCTCAGAACTCCTGATCTCAAGCAATCCTCCCATCTCAGCCTTCCAGAGTGCTAAGATTACAGGCCTGAGCCACTGTGCCTAATCTAAACAGGTTAAAATTAAGATTAGAGTTAAATAAAATTTTACCAGTCTTCCCTTTGATGATCTTTCCTTCTAATCTTTTTCTTCATATCTTTTTTATTTTGGATAGGCATACCAAAAGGCACATACTTTCTACAGTTAGCTAATAAACTAAGCATGAAATTCAACTAACAAAAAGGGACTAATGGCTAGGCCTGGTGGCTCATACCTGTAATTCTAGCACTCTGGGAGGCCAAGGCAGGAGGACTGCTTGAGCTCAGGAGTTTGAGACCAGCCTGAGCAAGAGCAAGACCCCATCTCCACTAAAAATAGAAAAATTAGCAGATGTCATGGCATGCACCTGCAGCCCCAGCTACTCGGGAGGCTGAGGGAGGAGGATCACTTCAGCCCAGGAGTTTGAGGTGCAATGAGCTATGATGACGTCACTGCACTCTACCGGGGTGACAGAGCAAGACTCTGTCTCCAATAAAAAGCGGGGGGGGGGGTGCAATTAAAAAGGTCTAGATTAGCCAGGTACAGAAGCATGCACCTGCAGTCCCAGCTACTCAGGAGGCTGAGGCTAGAGGATCACTTGACCCCAGGAGTTCTGGAATAGCCCGGGCAACACAGAGAAGACTCCGTCTCTTAAACAAACAAAAAAAAGTCTAGATTATCTCAACCAAGTCTCAACATTGTTTTGCCATGCTTAGCAAAGTATTATAGACCAAAGGAGTCGTTTTCCTCATTTTAGCTAAATAATACAAAGTTACTGAAGAATCCAATTAAGAGGTTTGGAGCACAAAATTATATTCCTGCCAAATATTAAGTTGCTAAGGGAATAGAAGTGAACTCATTTACAAACTATCTCAGAAAATACCCTTGCTGGTTAACTAAATAGGGGGTACACTGATAACCCTAGCCAGTGCCCATTTGGAAATAGAAATTCAATCATTCTAGTTTTAGAATTAGGTGAAATCATTAGTTAATATATTCATATGGACAAAACCCAATCTAATGAACAGAATGAAATTTTTCCTATATACTATCCACCAACTAATGAGTAGTGGGACTTTCTAGAATACAGAAGGAAGAGAAGTGATCAACCACTAAAAGTAACCAGACTTCCTTCCTCTCTTCTCCACCTTCACAAATTTTCATCCTACTGGAGGGTATATCTGAGATAGGCCAGTCAATCAAATTTCAGCCTCTGCATTCATAGTGAGCCCCAAATCCTACCCATAATTCCACATATCCTTATTTGCTGTTAAACTACCCTCCCCTAAATTTGAACCTACTGTTACCTAAATCTAACTACAGGATTATGAAACATTCTCTAAAATACAATCCACTATGTTTCAAATGATAAATTTCTAGCCCCTGTGATCGATCACATCTGTAGAACTGTATCAATAACAACTAAAAGGAATATGATTAAACAAAAAAGGCTCACCTAGTGATACACTGCTCCAGCTACTTACTTAAGAGAAAGAAATCTCAAAAAGATATTTCAAAGACCCTGGCTATAAGCTTTGCTCCTATTATCATCACCAAAGTGGTATATTTTATTTTAATTGAGAGGCTGGCAATCCTCCATCAACATCAATGTTCTAGTCGATACTGATTATATTTGGTTTTACTAAGTGACAATTTTTAGGAAACTAGTCATGATACCGGTATATAGTCAAATAGACAAACCAAAGTAAAAGGAAAAAGAGAATAAAAGCAACTGGGAAGTGTGACCAATACGATTACTTTCCTAGTTGTCTAGAACATAAACATGAAGTGTTTAATAATGTTCAGGCTATGCATGTCATATACTTCTTTTAAGACAAATTACTTTGGCTGTGCAATTATCACCATATCTATAAGGTTACAAGTAGAAGGGTAAAATCTGGGGACCACCCATGCAATTCAACTTCAGGTTCTTAATATTCACCTCTTTTAAGTCTGGGAACTCTATTATGTACTGTGTTATATAAAGGGGTTTCTTCTTTCTTTCCCATTAAGAGAAGTGGATATATGACAGATGACTGATAAATAGATAGAAGAAGTGAATGAATATACATTTAAGACAACTGGGAGCAAAGAGAAGTCAAGGAATTTCATAATGCCCTTTGAATCCAAAATACCTAAGGTATCAAAGATAGATTTAATGATCTAGAGATTCCAACATACTCAATCACTTCATTTATCCCCTTTTGGGAAAAAAGTGGGAAAATAGTTCATCCCTAACCCATACCCCATAGTTCTACATGCCTATAAACAGCCGGCCAGTCTATACAATTTTCCACAGAGGATGAAGTATAGAAAAGTAGCAACCCCCTCCCACCAGAAAAAAAAAAAAAAAATCAAACTACAGTTATCTTCACTACTGCAAAACTAAATAACTTACCTGTACAACCAAAGATCTATCATTGTGGTAATATTATCTCTTTTCCTTATATCCTGAAGGAGTTGGAGCTATGATCTAGAATAGAGCTTAAGCATCAGGGTTTCAGACTCTCAGCTTCAGCCATGGAGAATACTAGAACCTCCTAAATTCCTTTCATTAAAATAAAATAATAAAAAAAAAAGAATTAAAGAAGAAAATTAACTTATGCTAATAGATTTACTCCCTCTATAATAAGAGGAAATAGAATCTGTTCATAGTGATATCTTCGGTGCTTCCTGGTAAGTCTATAGCCTCAGGGATATTAAGAAGTTGGAATAGGATTTAGAAATCAACAAAAACAAACCAAAAAGAGCTTGAAATAAACCAAATCCTTACAACTACTCGGTATTAGGTTTGAGTCAAAATATGACTCAGTTCTTTTCTATAGTCTGCTCTAAGGCAATATTTTTTTGCTATGACCTAAAGATTGCCTTGATAAGATTTTTCATAACAGAATTTATAATCTCTTATCCTAGAAGACTTTCCAAATTTTGGACTTCAAGTATGCAAAACTGAACCACAAAAATCATTTAGGTTATGTATAGCAAAGAATCAACCAAGTCTTCTATACCTGCAGAATAACCTTGATGCTTATTAAAGCAGTAAAAGATTCAAAGGAAAAAGGAAATTTCTATTATTTTTGACATATGTATTTTCAACAAGGACAAAAACAATAAGAATTTTCTTGTTTTAGCACCTAGTTAGCCAGATATTTTAATTAATCTAATTATATTTCATTTCTTGGAACAGTCTGGTTAATTAAATTTTTACTTTACAATAATGTGTTATGATATCCTCTTCAGAGAATGTACAATCTGGCTAAATGGGTTATTATGAATGCCCATCTGGAAACAAGGAAGAATACCAGAAAAAAGACCAGCACATGTTTATGATGGAAATTGTCACTTTATTACAGCATTAAAGTAGATATGCTAAAAGTGACACTATCTTGGTGAAGTGTTACAATTTAAAGACTGATACAATTATAAAACCTTGTAAACTAAAGTTATTGTGTAGTAAAAATAGCTTAGTGTTTTAGTTAGAAGGGGAATAGGGTTAATATCTGTAGATGCAACCTCTCCCAAATATGCCTTATAAATTCTTTTAAAAGCACAAGGTAGGAAAATTACCTAAATATAGCCTTTTAATACTACAGTACATTAAAAAATGTTCTCAGTTAACATGGGAAGGGGAAGCACAGTAAAAACATGATCCTACATGAAGTAACCCCTGACTTGAAAATTCACTCTTCTTATAACAAAAACGCCAATTGACAACTCATTTGTACCCAACCCTGAAGCCTTTCACAAACATGGTAAAACATTACATTCTATAGCACGAGAAGGTGGTGGCAATCGTCAGAAGGAAAGAGGATCTACGATACAAAATGTGTCTCTGAGCATACACGGGTGTGCCCATTCTAACATTCTATCAAATTCCAATCAGCCACATTACTACCCTACCCCTATAGGGTTCCTATAGGGTATAGATGATGTTCCTGTAGGGTATAGATGATGTTGCTATAGTGAACCTATAGGAACATCATCTACTATGATATTTATCAGGCAAGGACACCTGCAACTATTGCTTTCACAGCAGAACTGATACTTACTGCTGAGTTCTACTGGCATTAAGAGAGACAGGATCCTGCAGACGTGTTTCTTAAAAGCCTGATACACTGAAAAAGAAACTTAAGTCAATTACTTCTAACTAAACCCCACGTGGCCTTAATTAAGATCACATTTTTTTCTTACCTTTTTAAAAGTGTTTCGCCTAGTATTTGATTCCCAATCGTCTGTATTTATCTGTCATCACTGTTAATGTCCATGTTACATTGAGACTTCAGGTATTAATTATTTATATGGTTGTACTAGCACAACTTGGTATCTGTGAAGGGAAACCACAATATAGTCACTATGGATGTGTTACTGTTTATAGATCCGTGGATAAAAGCAGTAATATTTCTGAACACTTATATAGCGCACTTCATTTCCTAATAAATCTCACAAACTATTCCTTACGTTTAATTGTGAAATACATGTTATCTTCAACAAACTGAGATCATTTGGTAACACAAATTCTTCTCAGAGAGTACTCACAAGTTTTCTAAATTTAATTCTAAATTAAAATTCTTACAAAGTTGAGAGTTCCTCAGATTCCTTTTCTTACTATCAATATAGATATATCTTATTTCCCAGAAGTCTGTAATTGCTCGACGTTAACAGAAAAGTACTTTCTTTGTGTTTTATAATACATTAAGGAATGAATCTATAATGCTTAAGAATGAAGTATAAAAAGATCATGACTTTAAATGTAACTTTAAAATATTTGATATATTTTGAAGTAATCTTTTCACTTTCGATTATCCCTCTATAGGCTAATTATCCCTCTGTTAAAGGTATTTTGGAAGTAAATAGAAAATAAACGTGATTTAAAAGAAATCAATGTAGCTGCACAAACATTCTTTAAAAGCACGCTTCTTAAAAACAAACTTGGTTGCTGATTACAAGTCTAAAAAAACACATCCATGTGCTTACAATGATGACAAAAAGCATTATATAAAACTTTAAGTCATCTTAGGCCAGTCGCGCTGGCTCATGCCTGTAATCCTAGCACTCTGGGAGGCCGAGGCGGGCAGATTATTTGAGCTCAGGAGTTCGAGACCAGCCTGAGCAAGAGCAAGACCCCATCTCTACTAAAAAAAATTTAGAAAGAAATTAGCTGGACAACTAAAATATATACATAGAAAAAATTAGCCAGGCATGGTGGCACACGCCTGTAGTCCAAGCTACTGGGGAGGCTGAGGCAGAAGGATCCCTTGAGCCCAGGAGTTTGAGGTTGCTGTGAGCTACGCTGACACCACAGCCCTCTAGCCCAGGCAACAGAGTGAGACTCTGCCTTAAAAAAAAAAATTTTAAGTCATTTAGTCATTTTAACCAGTTTATTAGTGAAAAAAATGAGCTACAAAAAAATGTTCATACATACAAAAAGAAGCCTATGTATGGTATTCTAAAATGATTCACCATGATGTGTCACTCCAAATTCTACACAATAAAAAGAAGGTAAAAATCTTAGAAAATGTAGATAACCTAATCCTACCAGTTTGGTGGATAAAATGTGTTATGGGAGTTGTCAACCCTTCAGGTATTCTCAGTGAAAAGTTTCATTAACAATACAGAGTTATTGAGAAATACCGGTATCTACCCTCAAACACAGTTCTCTATTTATTTGTTCTGAACCATTAAAAAATATCTTAATTAGCACCATAAAAAATTTAACAAAATATGAGACCAAAAACTATAAAAGCACTAAAAGAAAACATAGGGAAAACTCTTCTGGACACTGATCTCGGCAAAGAATTCAAGACTAAGACCTCAAAAGCACAGGCAACAAAAATAAAAATAGACAAATGCGGCCAGGCGCGGTGCCTCACGCCTGTAATCCTAGCACTCTGGGAGGCCGAGGCGGGTGGATTGTTTGAGCTCAGGAGTTCGAGACCACCCTGAGCAAGAGCGAGACCCCATCTCTACCAAAAATAGAAAGAAATTAATTGGACAGCTAAAAATATATAGAAAAAATTAGCCGGGCATGGTGGTGCATGCCTGTAGTCCCAGCTACTTGGGAGGCTGAGGCAGTAAAAATAGACAAATGGGACTTAATTAAACTAAAAAGCTTCTGCACAGCAAAAGCAATAATCAAAATAGTGAAAAGACAACATGTAAAATGGAAAAAAATATTTGCAAGCTACACATCTGACAGGGAAACTAATATTCAGAATTTACAAGGAACTCAAACAACTCAACAACAAAAAACAATAAAAAGTGGGCTAAGGGCACAAACAGATATTTTTCAAAAGACAAACAAATGGCCACCAAATATATAAGAAAATGCTGCTCATCACCAATCATCAGAGAAATGCAAATTAAAACCACAATGAGATATTATCTTATATCAATCAGAATGGCTATTATTAAAAAGACAAAAAATAACAGGTGTTGGCAAGGATGCAAATTGTCAACAGAAAAGAAGCTAAACTCTGTAAAATAACTTAAAGAGGTTTATTCTGAGCCAGATTTGATGACCATGGCACAGAGACATGACCCAGAAGCCTTAAGCAAGTGGACTGGCTGTGGCTGGGTTACAGTTTCGTTTTACACATTTCAGGGAGACAGGAATTACACGTGAAGTTGTAGGTGTACATTGATTTTGCCTGAAAAGATGGAACATCTCAAAGCAGGGGGCTTACGGGTTATAGGTGGGTTGAAATGAAGTTTTGTCCAAAGGCTTGAAATGTTTCAAGATAAATAAGGAAGTCTGTTAACCAGAGACAAGCCACTGGCCATATGCCCAGACTCAAGTGATTTGCCGTGTGGATTGAGGACCTGCAGGTGTGGTTTAAGCTTTGTTTTGCATAGCCTTAGGCCTGTTAAGGAGTTACAAAGGATATCTCCAAGAAGGCAGGGGAAAATGATGCGGCATGTCTGACCTCCCTTCTTATGGCTAGCAACTCAGTTGGCTGTTGGCCAAGAGAGGGTCCATTCAGTCAGGTGGGGAGGGGGTTAAGATTTTATTTTAGTACACAAGAGAAAAGGGAACTTTTATATACTGTTGGTGGCAATGTAAATTAGTACAACCTCTATGGAATATAGTATGGAGATTTCTCAAAGAACTAAAAATAGAACTACCCTTTGATCCAGCAATCCCACTACTGGGTATCTACCCAAAAGGAAAGAAATCACATCATAAAGATATCTGCATTGGTATGTTTAGCACAGCACTGTTCACAATACTGAAGATACGGAATCAACCTAAGTGTCCATCAACAGATGACTGGATAAAGAAAATGTGGTATATATACAGTCACAAAAAAGAATGAAATCATGTCTTCTGCAGCAACACAGATGGAACTGTAGGCCATTACCTTAAGTGAAACAACTCAGACACAGAAGGACAAATACCACAGGTTCTCACTTACAAGTGGGAGCTAAATTATGTTCACACATGGATGTAGAGTATGGAATCATCGGCAATGGAGATTTGGAAGGGTGAGGGGTGGGAGCAAGGTGGATGATGAGAAATTACTTAATGGATACATTATTTCAGTGATGAATATAGTAAAAATTCTTGCTTCACCACAATGCAATATATCCACGTAACAACATTACACTTGTACCCTATAAATTTATACAAATTAAAAAAAAAATTTAACACAGATCTAAGTATTCCTAAATTTAAAGGTTGTCACAACCTCTTTTGTAACAAGGAAATTAAACTAGCCAAAGCTCTTATAGCCCCTACATTGTGTTCATTTCATTTGCTATACATTTCAAATTTAAGCATTCAGCAACAATGCTATATGCTTTCTGAAGCACATACTTTGAATTATGAAAAGTTACAATAATTTTCTTCATTTGAATTATTTAACTATAGCAACTTATTTCCAGAAATTTTAAAAACTTAGCTAATTTGTCTTTTTAAAAGCAAGCAAAATGGAAAACAAACTATTTAAGTCCTATTCCTAAAGACTTTTTATTTATCCTTTAGTACAAAGTTTTGCTTATTTTCATGTACTAATAAAATTGTTGACTATTCAAACAGTCCAAAAGCAAACCCCAAAACCAATCTTCACTGAAAATAATTACTTTTCCTACTACTTGCAATCTAACTCTGGTACTACTGCGTTTAACAGATTAAAGAACTTCAGAGTCATAGCACACATATAATCACTTTAGAAGACTACCAAAAATTTCACTAGAAAATATTAGCAGTTTTAATGACATAGCAAAGTTATAAGACACACAATTTACTATAAAAATAAAACTGTGAAGTTCAAGCTACATGCAACCTAAATTATGAGACACTGCAAATTTTTTTTTAGTTTTATAAGAGCTTGGAAAAAATTCAGAAGAAAGGTTATACTATAGACTCATATTCAGTACCTGATTCTTCAGTTGTTACAAGTGAAAATACTAAATATGTGCACTATACAATGATTTTAAAAGAAAGAGATATTCAATGTCAGTTGTAAAAAGCATTAAGATAATGGTCAAAGACAGAAACATCCTTCCTAGACAATTAACCTTTCACAGTTACTTGCTATAAAGAGCTGAACCAAATTTTTATTTGATACAAAGCATAACCGAAGAACACATTTTCCTGGCTCCCTAAATTGTTTAGAACCATGGGTTCAATGTCTTGGATGCCTTCTACAGTTTTAAAGACAAGCCTATTTCATAGTTAACAGAAAGACAGCAAGAAAAGTATCGGATTTGGTGGAAGGAGATGGAAGCGTGATTCTCTGTCTTCAATAATTAACTCACAATGGGCCAGCCACTTTGCCTATCTGTGCTTTATTTCTTCATCTATAAAATTGGAAATATAATACCAGTCTAGTACCTCTCACGGTTATTCTGAAGTTCAGAAAAGATCATGTCCGGGAAGTACTTCTACATATTGGCTCTCAAACTTCAGTGTGTCTAAGAAACCGCTGGACCCAATCACCCCAGAAATTCAGATTCAGCAGGCCTGGACATGAATGCATCAATCTTCGTATTTACTTAAGCACTTCATGTCATTACAATGTAGGAGCTCCCCAGTGACCATACTCTGAAAAAACCACTCTGTATCACTGTATATCACTATATACATATCACTGATACATCACTACGTATCACTCTGTATCTTCTAAAACTTCAGTATTCATTAAGCATTAACCTAGGTACTCACTTAAAATGCAAATTTCTAAACCTCACCCAGAAATTCAGATTCAATAAACTTAGGATGGAGCACAGATTCTTCATTTATCATTATACTGGTGATTCAGAGTAAACAAGCCCTGCATTTTTTCCTCTTAAATATTTTTCAAATTGTTCCCCACCTCTGTAGTA